AGCCTGTTCCCAGTGTGAGTTGCCAGACGAAGGAAAGAGCTAAGGAACAGGGGTCAACTTGGGAGGAAGGCCACAGGTGGATGAGGAATGGCCCCTCCCAGAGGAAATAAAAGAGGAGCGAAGGGGAAGTGGAGTTTGCAGGAGACCATTAGTTCGCTTCATTGGTTCATGACTCTCTGAGACTCCTGGCCACGTTTTGCAGATATCGGCCTGGCAGCTCTCCAAGCCAGATAAGGTCTGTGACCGTAAATCCTCCCTGGAAAGACTTTGCTGGATGTGGAAATTAATAAAAGGGATTTTTTTGTCGGGACAAGGAGTTTGCTTCGTGCTCTTGGGAAGCCTCGGTCAGAACAGCTTCCTTATTTCACTTGGTGGGGAAAGATGACCAGCTCGGCATCTAAATTCTAATATATATTTTTTTCCTTTCCTGGGGTTTTGGAAGAACCGGACCAGAACTTATCAAGTCCAGAAGAAGTGTTTCATTCCGGACACTCACGAAATTCAAGCTATGCCAGCCAGCAGTCCAAAATCTCTGGTCAGTGTCCTTCCCCACCAGGAGCTGGGTTTTCACGATTTGATCTTAATGGTGCTTCAATTTCTAACTCTCTTTTTTTTCCAGACCTAAAACAAAACGATAAAATGATACAAATGTTATAGTAATTTTTTAAATTAAAAAAAAAACCTTTGTTTGTATTTTATCCTAGCTTAAACCAACAAGAGGGTTTTCATTTTCTTTTTCCTGGGGTGGCAATGTTTAATAAATACAGGTATTTTTTATCTTAGCTAAGCCAACAAGAAGTGTTGGTTTTTGCTTTAATTGCATTCTGCAGAATTTACACTTACTGCTGTAAATTTGGGATATTCACAGCCCAAGGCATTGTGATGGAGTGTTAGTACTGCTTTATAAAGCCTCAGTAAGGCCACACTTGGAGTACTGCATCCAATTTTGGTCAGTGCATTACAAATACAGTGTTGAGACTTTGTGTGGGGGGGGGGAATGTAGAGAAGAGCAACTAAGATAATTAAAGACCAGGAGATTAAAACGTAGGAGGAACAGTTGCAGGATTTGAGTATGGCCAGTCTAGAGAAAAGAAGGACATGGGTGGAGGGTGGGACATGATGGCAGTCTACCACTATTTGAGGGGCTGCCACAAAGACAAGGAGGGGGTCAAACTATTCTCCAAAGCACCTGAGGGCAGGACAAGAAGCAATGGGTGGAAACTAACCAAGGAGGGAAGCAACTTAGAATTGAGGAGAAATTTCCTGACAGTTAGAACAATTAATCAGTGGAACAGAAGTTGCCTCCAGAAGTTGTGAATGCTCTAACACTGGAAGTCTTTAAGAAGAGGTTGGATAACCCTTTGTCAGAAGTGATGTAGGGTTTCGTGCCTGAGCAGGGGGTTGGACTAGAAGACCTCCAAGATCCCTTCCAACTCTGTTATTCTAGAAGGGT